CGGGCTCCCTGCTCAGCGGGAAGCCTGCTTCTCCCTCTCCCACTCCCCCTGCTTGTGTTCCCTCTCTCTCTGTCAAATAAATAAATAAAATCTTTTAAAAAAAAATAAATAAATAAAATAAATGGTCTGTACCTTTTAAAAATTTAGCCACAAACTTTCCTGGTCACAACTTTAGGAGTTTTTCTGGTTTTATTTAAGAAGCAATCTGCGTGTGATCTGGACCACTGGTCTTCATACTTCTGTTTTTTGTTTTTTTGGTTTTTTTTTTTAAGGTACGAGGCTATCCCACGTTGTTGCTCTTCCGCGGAGGGCGGAGAGTCAGCGAGCACAGCGGCGGCAGGGACCTCGACTCGCTGCACCGCTTCGTCCTCCGTCAGGCCAGGGACGAGCTGTAGGGCCCACTGGCCCGTCGCCCGGCCTCCCGCGCCCCGGCTGTTGGAGCTGAATCATGCTGGTGTTGTGGACTCCCACCTGGTGGTTTTTCAGAGAGCTGAATGTACTAAACTTGCGGTATCTTCTTTGTGTGTGTGTTTTTTAAGCCAACACACTCTACAGATTCTTTACAAAGTTTCTCTAAGTAAACACATAACTCACGATCCCTTCACGAGCTATTTTCCGTGGCGACCTGTCGTCCCCTTCACCCTTCTCTTGAGGAATCTCAATGGTTTCCTTTGAGACTAAAATAGAGTTGAGGAAAAATCAAATTGCTGAACTATTTTTGGCTCCTGAGTGATTCTGGTGCATGATGCATCAGCTAAAGCATCGTTTGTGAGCTGCTCACGAGTTCTGGACGGTCGCAGTAGTGATACTCCTGGTCTGAAGGTCAAAACTGACTTCTTAATGACATGTTGGTTGGTAGCTTGGAGCAGATCTAAAAACAGGAAGCCCACACCTCCGGAAGATACCTCCACGTCCTTCCCTGGCTTTGCTGTTTGTTTCTGTCAATGCTCCTCTCACGGCGAGAGGTCAACCATAATGAACGCAATGGTACTTCTGACACGTGCCTGAGTAAGAGAATGCTGGGGCCGTAACCTCATGTGTGTGTGTCAATGCTTCTGTCTGTTACCCCATGGGTGGAAGTTTCTTTAGTTAGGTCATCACGAAGACTTGACGTCTCCCACAGAAAATGTGGGCATGGGAAGTTCCACAAGGCTTGTCCTGACTATTCTGTTTACTCCTAGAACAATTCTGGTGGTTGTCACCTGGGGCGAGAGGGCTCAGGTGAGCCTTCCCAGGCCTGGGTATCGGAACTAACCAGGGAGGCCCCCCTAGCTGGAAGCGGCTTCAGATCCTGCTTCTGGGTAGTTGTTCTAGAGGCTTACTGTATTTTGTCTGCCTCGGAGGAGGTCAACTGTGTGTGTGTGTGTGTGTGTGTGTGAAGAGTGGGATCCAGTTGGCCTCAAGACCAAAGACTGAGCTAGGCGGGGCTGGGTCAGGGCTGACTCGGGCCTCATTACTGCCCCGGCCAGCACCCTTGTCAGCCACGCCATCCTCGTTGTTCAGTTTTACTGTCACACTGGAAAACAAGCACCCATCGGACTAGGCTCTCTGAAGATACGTACCTGTATGTTCTTGGCCATCAGGTTACTTCTCATCATAATCCCTCCCTTTCCAACGCTCTTCGCCCCACTTCCCATGCTCTGGGTGAGTGCGGCCAGTGGACACACGGTCACTGGGGGTGGGACCCTGAGAAACAAGATCGCTTCTGCTGCCTGCGGCAGAAGACAACAGAGCAGGGTCTCGGCCAGTCTCTGCCTTAAAGGAAATCTTTATTAATTATGTATGGTTCACAGATGGTCTTTTAAAAACCCCAACTTTCTAGAGAAGCACAATCCTCATGCGGGGCTTCAGCTTTGCATCATGAGTCTTGTATTAAAAGAATATCCAAGTGGTACAATTTGTTTACACTATGATACTTTCTAAATAAACTCTTTTTAAAAAAAAAAAAAAAGTCTGGTGTTTCCTTAAATGTTACAGCAAAACAGATATAAAATAGACAATAAATTATAGTTTATATTTACAAAAAAGCTGTAAGTGCAAACAGTTTTAGATCATAAATGTATTATTTAATCAGTTTAGTATGAAATTGGCTTCCTAGTACATGATCGTGAAAAAGACACTTTAAAAATACTCTACGATTTCATCTGAGTCTTCCTTTCTACAAGAGAACACTGGGATTTGGGTTCATAAGGGCCTGCCTATCCAGACCCTGTCCTGGCGGTCCTTCCCCGTTTTGTTTCCTTTGCTGGATCTAACCCCGCCACTTGGCATGCTGTCGAGGAAAAGGCAAAGAGCCATTTTACTGAAATAGGTGAAAGAGTAGAGCCGGCGTTCCTGGAGTGAATGTGCTTTTCGGAGAGCCATCCCAGAAGAGGAGGTGCAGCGCTGGTTTCCCGCGGCACCCGGCTAGCATGCCCCCCCTGGCCTCCCCGCAACACCCGCTCGCTCTACTTTGGGCGCTAGCAAGGAGAACAGCTAATGGGGGGGAGGGACTGAGGTGTGGAAATGACACGGTTGGCTTGACCGAAGTGAGTGTATTTTCACACGGACTGAACTCCAGCACAAACATTAAGGGCAGGGGCGGAGAGAAAAGGCACTTCACGCAGCCCCCGGGTCGGCCCGGGCTGCTGCCCCTGCTTGAACCTGCCCTGCACCGAGGCCGTCTGTGAAGGGAGGCATTTCCGCCCAGTTCCAGTTGTCTATGTAGATCGACCTCTGACGGACACTACTGAACCGGCTGGTACTTTAGCCAAGAGTACTCTTACTCCTTTAAGATTATTTTCCCTATTGACTCACTAACACCACAAATAGCTTGGTCTAAAGCTAAAACTAATTTTGGTGGGCTCTTCTTTTGGGGGAGGGTTGGGGGGAACCCTTCAAAGTTACGTTTCTGTAGTTCCCAGACTTCATACTACAGACATCCGAACCCCGCTTCCTGCAGACCAGCAACTGCCCACGTTCTCTACCGTGTGAGCAAATTCTTAACGAGGCCCTTCGAGTTCTTCCTTGGGCGGTAAGGCACCAGCCAGCCCGGGGCGGCTTCAAAGGCTTGCCTCCCCCTTCGCCGTGCTTCTGAATGTTTGTTAAGGCAGATGTCATCTGGGAACCCAAGGCCGTGTCCCCAGCAACTGGTTTCGAGTTAGTGGCACCCACAAGCTCTGACAACCATATTCCTGTATTTTTTCAAGATGACATTCGAGTTGTCATCAAAGTAAAGAACTGAGATGGCGTTTAGTTTGGTTGGCGCGCAGCAGGGTTTGGGGACATACTCAGGATTCATAAGGTGAACCTGTTGCAAAACAGAAGGGGAAAGGCACCGTTAGAAGCCATACCTGGTCTCGGCTTACTCCTCCCTCTAAAGCAAAAGGGGTCCCCAGGAGCTCACCAGCGTCTGCACAATTGCGTGGTTCGTTGCGTTCATGTGCGCGTTGAGTGGGAAGGAGCATTCTCCATCACAGTAGTTGGCAGCGTAGCCCTTGGGTGCGATGATCCAGTCCTTAGGTGAAAGCAAAAGGACCCCACATGTGATCAGCATACACTCCTTACATCATCTGCGCTCCAGGAATCCTGTGACAGTGGACTCCTCACATTGGACAGCTGGGCCGGCAGGCCCAGGGAGGCCACGTTCATGTTCCAGTGGCAAAAGCAAGGGGGTGAGCCTAGTTCATCTGGCTCCAGGGCACCCTCCCCCTTCACAGGCCCACAAGCCTTAGCTGCTACCCACCTGCTAGGCCTGCAAGCACAGGGGGCTGGCTTTATGCACCCGGACCCAAAGGAGCCTCGAGTACGCCTGTCATCATAACGCCATCTGCATATAGAAACTCGATTTCCTATCACTTGTCACCTGGAATTTGCTCCTTATAAACCAGTGGTGGCTCTCAGGTGTGGGGCTAACCGTTTGTGCTCTTCTAGATAATTTGGGTGAGTCAATGTATAGCCATTGGGTAACTGTTAGGTCAGTTTCTCCAACCCTTTCTCAAAACACAAATGCCAAAGTCCATGCCTCATGGATTCTGAAAGAATGGAAGAAGAGCCCCGGGAACCGTGGGACTGACTCTGCGGTACGTGGAACTTGGGAACCTGGCTCCCTGGGGAGGTGTAGGGGTGGAAGGGAGACAGCGCTGGTATACAAGGAGCCTGGCCCTCCCTCTGCCCTCCTCCAGAAGCCCAGGCATCCGGAAGAGCTCCCAAGTGCCTTCACATGGGAATCACCTCGGCCCTAAAGCTCAAGGTCTTCGAGGACAGCCCCTGCCGTGAAGACGGGAAAGGACATTTGTTCCCGTTGTCCAGAGAACTCACCTGCCAGCCCAGGTCTTGGAAGCTCACATAAAGCTCATGCTTCCTGCAGGCCGTTTTCAACTCACTGCTGTTGTAATCTGTCGGAGGAGATAAGATGCGCCCATTAACTCATTCATTCTTTCATTTAAATACTGACATGGGAGGCTCTGCCCTGGGCCAGGCCCTGTACTAGGCTCACGACAGCAGCGAACAAGGCCCCCGCTCAACACAAATGTGACAAATGTGGGCACCAAACAGCTCCATCAGGTTCCGTGGCTCCCAGGTCCTCACTCACGCCATCTTGTTCACTCTGGGGTGCATGCTGGGCAGACTGGCACACAATGTCCCATCATGGACCTGAACAGACTCGTGAGCAACAGATGTGCACTGTGAGCCCCTGGTGTATGCAGGGCCTGTGGGAGAGGGTACACCAAGGGGCCCTAAAACACCCCTTGGGCTCCTGACTTGGAAGACATCGTATTCACGGCACAAGACAACTATACCAGGCAGGATTTGCTATAATGCACACAGGACAGTCTTGAAGCTGCACAGGACCCGTGAGGATAGCTGGGTCAGGAAAGCATCCTGAAGGAAGGGTAACGGAGCGGCGCCTACCTAAGAGGGAGTCAGAGACAGACGGAGACCCAGAGCAGAGCTGGCTCTCTCTCCAGCATTGGTCCCCAGGCTCACTTCCAGGGTTGAGCCTTTGACCTGCCCCAAAGCAATGAGCCCTAGGAGAGCGGTGTCCTGTGAACCCGCTAAAGCCCGTGTAACTCCCCTGTGTGAGGCAGGAGCCGCTAGTCTGGCCCAGCCTAGAGGAATGGGAGGGCCGCGGTTCATTTAGGCCAACTGGAGCAGCTCTTCTGGGAGCTGTCCTCTGCTAGGCAGCACAGGAAACTGGAAAATAAGTGACATGAGGCTTGCAGCCTCCAGGGACTGAGAGACTCGAAGGGGTGGCGTGAGACATGGACACAACTAACGCAGGTACACAACAGTGCAGCTGCTATGGGCCAGTGTTATGGAGAAGGCCCGCTGGGAGTTTGGACAAGGGTCAGTTAAGGGTGGGGGCGAGAGGAAGAGCGAGCGGTTTGGGTGGAATGAATTTAAGGATATATGAAGATGAATCAATCAGGTGAGATAAAGCTGGGGAAATGAATGGCCTAGAATGCCAACCAAAATGATGTGGACTTTCTACTAGAGGCATTAAAGTAAGCCTGTGAAGAAGGGGTTTGAGCCAGAGACGGCCATGTTCGGAACGATGATTCCAAAGGATCAACCCGGTAGTGGTGTTTCAGAGAGATGAAAAGACTCCAAAGAAAGGCTCTTAATCTACAATGCACTTTGACAGATACAGGAGCATGAGGTCACGCGCGTGCCACCTCTGCCCTTTTAAATTCCATAGCCAATTACCTAATTGTTTAAAGCCTATTTGCACTAGGTTTCTGTTGCTTGTACTCCTGGGCCTCTTGGCACTGAAGTAAGACAAGACATGCAGATCTCACGAGTTTGTGAGGCAAAGAGACAAACAGTACTGACTCAGCTCAGTCACCTACCCTGGGAGGAGAAACAGGCTACCTTTTCAAGGTGATTTGCTCATCCTAAATTTGTTCATTCTCCCTTCTCGCCTTCTTCAGCTTGCAGAACAACCCGAGCTATAATTCCAAGTACCCAGAAGAAGTGACTGCAAAGCTATGCTGGAGGGAAGTTTTCACAATGGAGGGCACTGAAGATTCTCAGTAAAAAACAAAAACAAAAACAACCCATAAACCACCACCACCACAAAGCAAGACAAAAACCTTCTGCTAAAAATAATCCCTCAAGAAAACATCAAGCACACAAAGAAACTATCCCAAAAGGAAAGTTAGAATAAGAAAAAACACAGGGACCACAGGCAAGAGTAGTCTCTGAGTGTGATTACAAAAAAGAATACATAAAATAATGGAAGAGATGAAATAAGAAACAGAAACCCTAAAGCAAAGACATTATGGAGAAAAAATATCATAAAAGAACAGGCAGACATGAAAGGGAACAAAATGGAACTTTATAAAGTTCTACTGAAGGTAAAAATGAAATGGATGGGTTAAACATCAGATTAGACACAAATGAAGAGAGGATTAGAGAACTGAACAATGAATTTGAAGAAATGTCCCCAACTATAGCCCAGAGTGCAGGCTCGAAAACAGGACTCTCTCTATATATAGAGACAATGGAAGACAGAATGAAAAGGCCAATGAATTTCTGAAGAGAATACTGGGTGAGTAATAATTGAATATAGGGATGTGTGGGAATTTTCTAGAAGTGAAGAAAAGCAAACATCTTTATTTTGGAAAGGCACAGTGAGTCCTAAGCAGAGTAAATAAATTCCTCTCTAGCCACACGTGGTGGAACTGTAATATATTAAACGTAAGGGAATTCTTTTTTTTTTTTAAGATTTTATTTATTTATTTGAGAGAGAGAATGAGATAGAGACAGAGAGAGCATGAGCAGGGGGAGAGGCAGAGGGAGGGGGAGAAGCAGACTCCCCGCAGAGCCAGGAGCCCGATGTGGGGCTCGATCCCAGGACCCTGGGATCATGGCCTGAGCCGAAGGCAGATGCTTAACAACTGAGCCACCCAGGTGCCCCTACTTCCAACTTTTAGATTTCCCTATTTGCTTCTGTATTATTTTTTTCTTAAAGAGTTATAATCATATAAACATGGTTTTTTTCACGAGTGATATTTTTATATAGTTACACATTTATATTGATCATATTTTATATTGTCATGTGGATTTGCCATAATTCAACTTTTCTCTGTCAGTGAATATTTAGGTTATTTATAAATATCAGAAATGTGTAAGGAACATGTTAATCTTTGTAAAAGACTTTTTTTTCTACTTTTGAATGATGTTTTTGGAATCTATTACCGGACATGAAATTACAAGGCAGAAGGAAAAAAAAAAAAAGGTCACACTACAATTACGGCTGCTGATGACTATTGTCTGATCGCTCACGTTGTCAGCGGGGGAGAGAGGGCCTGTGTCTGTGCCCGCGTGTGCCCACGTGTGCCCGCATGTGCGCTATGCCGTGTTGCCACGGCGGGGGGCACTGCCCTGGTGCGTGCCACGGGGCCCAGGAAGTGACAGTGCCGTACGTGAGCATGTTAACCCTGAAAAGTACTGGAAGCCCTTTGAACACCTTATAAAGGGGGACATAGAGTGTCCCAGCTTCTGGGAGCTCACTGTTCCCCTCGCCACCATTCTGCCGGGCGTCTCTCCGTGTGGGGGCTCAGTGGGCACGCCGAAAGTCTCGGCAGGCCCGCAGCCGCACGGACGCCTTCGTGGTGCTTTCTGATCACAGCTCTGCGCAGCTTTGAGCTGTCGGCACTTTTAGACTTTTAATGACTTAATTGGGATATT